TAGCGTTTACCGTTATGATTTTTTTAATTTTATACACATTCTGACAGAGGCTTTATTTTAAAAATATTATTGAAGGCTATATCATAGTTGTACAGAATTTTATTTTATAGCAATTTCAGTAATGGTTGTCACGTGATCATTGTGCCGTTTGTCTTATCATCGACGAATGAATAAAAACTTTTGCAAGTTACGTGCCTAGTTACGTGGTGGACAAAAGACTAAAAATTGTGCTATGAAGAAATAATGCCAGTGTGCCGTATCACCTCTTTTGGCTAAGGCATTTTCTGGATATTACTTTTGACACTATTTAAGTGTTTACCAAAAATTCCATCTGATTGTTTTATTTTTATCATTGTTCTTGTATTTTGGTGTTTTAGATTAACGCAATAAACACAATTTTGTTTTTTTAAACTCTATTATTAATGATAGGGTGACCCACCATAAATAAATATCTCCATATATCTCGACAATTACGCCACAATATTTATATATATGCCAACCCTCAAATCAGTTTCACACAATTATAGTCACTAAATAAACGATCATGTTGTACTTAATAAGCTATGACCATTAATCATGTATAAATAATAGACTGAAAACTGGTTCCAAGAGTCGTCCATAACATCCAGACACTTTTGAGTAAAAGATAGGTTACGTGCCCTTGTTTTGAAATTAGTCTCGCTTAACCAGTCTATCGACCATTCTACGTCTGATTGACAGGTCGGGATAATCAAGACTACTTTTTTACGAAACATAACAGAAAGCTAGAACAAAAAATTGAATTTAGAAATAAGCACGTTAGGTAGCTCAACAATCGTTTTAAGAAGCTTGTAAAAGTAAAATGAAACTACTGCTAGTATCATGTTCCTGTCTAACCCGAGTGATTCAGAGATATTATTTGTACTAAACCAAAAGATGCCGCTCTTAACGGTACAGTTAATGATAAGGCGATTTAAAAAATGAAACGAACGTAATTTCTAAATCTGCTGTAATAACCAAGAAGCTTAATTTTACTGCTATTCAAAATCATCAACAATAAATTTTTTACGGCTGTAATAGTTGATAGATTTGTAGAGAATTGCACGTGCCATGGCTATTTATAGTATCATACTGTCAGAAAGTTGGTCTCGGCACGGCGAATGTGCACGCTTCAGTGGTAGTCTCGAACTATCAGCAGTGGACTGTATTTCTGTGAGTACATGGGTCACCCTATTAATGAAGATTAGGAGGATTCGTGCAGATTGCATAAATGAGAATCCTCTTAGATTCTCGCAAAAAATGACGAATTTCTAGCCCTGGTGTACATATTGGCGTGCACATAATAGAATCCTTTACACAGTTGGAATTCAATGGAGAAATGCCACTGTCCCTAGAAATTTTGTCATAGCCCTTTGCATAGCGTCTGCCTATCTTCAATAGTCCGGTTGACGCAGAAAAGTAGGAAAATGGAAAATTAAATTAAATGAAATGGGGTTTAACGTCCTACTGTTCTGCTCCAATTGAGCTAATGAAGACGGGTATGCACTATACAGTGTACTATGAGGGAACTTTTGCCCGGATAGCGGCGCTACCGGCCTACTCTTATATTGAATTCAATCAATTCTTGGAAAAATGGTTACATACCATTGTCAGTGTGGGTACGTTGCGTACATATGCCAATACCATTGTCTGGGTTGGTGCATTACATTGCATTGTCAAGGTTGGTGTATTACATTTCATTGTCGGTTGGGGTTGGTGCTTTACATTTCATTGTCAGTGTGGGTGCGATACATTTCATTGTCAAGGTGGATGCATTAGTATTATTGTCAGAGTTCGTTACAGGTGTGCATTTAGATGTGATCATCAATCGTAAAAATGGCTATAATAGATATTGGCGGACTAGTGCACATGCAAACTAGTGGAACCACAGACTAGTGAGCATTCCCCGATAAAACCATGGATGTAAGGTCCATGATAAAACATAAAACTGGTTAATTTTCTGTGCAACAAGATTAGAGACTAATTATTAAACTATCTTAAGTTTTATGACTCAAAAAATATTTTGTATTAACATTCTGTCCTCTTCCTCCAGTAGCACTATTTAACCGAATTTACCCAAATCCACCATTATTTCAACTCAATGAATGATCAATCACCAAGACTTGTTTGTATCAAAACTGATCCTGGGTGAAAAGACTTCACAAAACTGTCTACCCAAGTGTTATAGCGGAGAAGAATGTGCAAGCATACATGTAACCTACTATGGCCTGCTATGGCAGGAATGCATGACAACTCGGACCAATGACCACTCGGACCAAGACAGAAGACTACTTGGATCAAGACAGAGGACCGCTCAGACGAAGACAGAAGACAACCTGAACCAATGTTTTTGAAACAATAAAGTGTTGATTTTAATTTTTGTAGCCTACTTATCCCATGTTATTATCTCATCATGAAGCACAGAAAAATAAACATCAATTAACAAAACATCAACAACTGAGTAGTTATTAATTTGTATACTTGTACTTGTACTTCTGAAAAGACTATTCCTTATATAGTCCAGGTCCCAGGAGCTAATGACAAAATAATATGGTCATCAGTTACAAAAGGTTTGAACCCCCAAATTTGTAGTGGGTGTCTATACGAGTAAAAATCAACTGGTCAGATCGGCAGTAGCTGAAACTTTCTAGAAAAGCAAAAGTAGATTTTGGTTAGATTTTTTAAAATTATATTTTCCAAGTACCGGTATAGACCTTTGTTTCTGGTCAGTTTCAGCCATGTATCTGATGATCATATTATTAGCCCCAGTTTTAGTGCATGGTGAGTGGTCAGACAGACTTTGGGGTGACCTGACTTGAGGAGAGCCCCCAAACTTTTGGTTACATTTTTGAAAATTATATTTTCCAAATATGGATCTTTGTTTCTGTTAACATTCAGCCATGTAACTAATGACCATATTATTATTAGCCCCATTTTTAGGGCGTGGTCTGGCAGACTTTAGAGGGACCTGACTTGGGGAAAACCCGCAAACTTTTGGTTAGATTTTTGAAAATCATATTTTCTCAAGTATGGATCTTTGTTTCTGTTAAGTTTCAGCCATGTAACTGATGACCATATTATTAGCCCCGTGAGGAGATACTGGGTGTGGTCTGACTTGGGGAAAGCCCCAGAAATTTGGGTTAGATTTGTGAAATATTTCCTCTAGCTATGGATACCTTTGTTTCTAGAAAGTTTGAGCCATGTAAATTATGACCTAATTTTTGGCCCCTTAAGGCACTTAAGGGGTACTTTAAGATGCTGCTGTGGCTATATGCCCCAGCAGTGCCCGATCTGACCAGTTGTTTACTCGTATAGACACCCACTACAAATTTGGGGGGTCAAACCTTTTGTAACTGATGACCATTAGCTCCTGGACTATTATGTGTACTACACTTATCGATTTGTACTGCCTTTTATTGCAAGCTTGTTGTGGACTGCGTGTCAAAGTTCAGTTTACGTTTTATCATTAATAAAATTAATAAGACTTTGAGTAACCGTGCATGTCGTGTTTACAAATGTTTTCAAATAAATTCATCACCATATTATTCCTTTTTTAATATATTACTTTTACGGGAAACTATGATTATCAAAGAACCGTAAGTGTCTTCCGTCTAGGATTGTGTCTTGGTCCGAGTAGTCTTCCGTAATGGACAAAGTGGTCTTCATTTGGTCCAACTGTTCTTGGTCCGACTGGTCCCCAAAACCATTTAATCAAGGAATAACAAGCGCTTCCTAAGTCAAGCTTGCAGACAATAAGCCATCAGGTTGCCAGTTAGTGACATTTTTGCCCGGTGCTTGCCTCATGGGTGTTTTTCATGGGTTGTCTCTAGTTTCCATTATCAAATTTCCCATATTTTATTGGAAATAACTACCCTATACATGTAAATACTTTTGTGAGAATGTATCTTTAACTAGACTTTTTGTGTGGACCGAGTATGCTTGTGGACGAGTTAACTGGCATTCAGTATAAATATACATGTTAAAATGTTATGAAAATTTGAGAAAATATATCTTTAATTTTAGTTTTTTTACACTAGGTCTAAATTAGAATAAAGCATCAGAACTCGTGGGGTTTTTTTTACATCTGTGTCTTTACAGAAATACTAATCAACTATAAAATTTTCACAATCTAATTATTAAACCACATCATTCAAATATAATAACATGCCAGAAAAAGAACTAGTATGTCTTTATTGAAATGTAGTGATTTTGTAACTTCCCGAAAATTGATAAAACCAATCTATATCTTTGACAAGTTTCTAACATTCAAGGTTGGTTTGGGTCTCCCAAACTCAACTGTATTGGTTAGCTGCCTAAACTCAACTTGTTTGAAGTTTGTTGTAAAAATGCCCAGATTATCTCAGAAATTACAAATATAAATTTGTAAACATATTATATGCCTACAAACTGTGAAAATAAAGAGACAATACAAATTTCTAGGCTAACATAGATTTCCAGTGAGCATACAATATTGAATCCTTCACATATATTATAGTTAACCCTTTGGCAAAATGGCTAAAAGTTGTAGTATAAACATGGCCCATATAAAATTTGTAGTATAAACATGGCCCATATAAAATTTGTAGTAGAAACATGGTTATTAATACATGTAAGGTCTCTGCCAGTCAAAACAGTTCCAGATATTAGTCAGTATGATGCCAACATTTCCTCTATGATGTGACAGAAAAAAAAGCCAACATACTGGTAAACCTAAAAGTAGTAAACATACCGGTAAGCCTAAATGTAGTACAATTGTGATGAAGTCAACCGAAAAAGCACCCCAATGTCCTTTGATTTACAGCTGTACACAAGTGCATAGTAGCTCACTGTAAAATCTTGGCTTATAAATCAACCTAATAATGTTTATTTCATTTGCAAACACTCAAGATTGCAGCTAATTTTACTGTGGAAGATAGTTGTGTTTATTAAGAGTGAAAAAGCTTTGTCAAGTAGTCTATATTATTTTTTCCCTCTCATTCCAGAAGTATGACGACTACAGAATTGAAGTTAAGATGTAAAAGCAGAACAGGTCAGCATTATCTAACAAACTTGACTGGGTCGTCTACTGTTGGAAGATTGAAAGAAATGTTAGCAGATATTACTCAAATACCAGCAAGCTGTATTAAAATACGACATGGCTTCCCACCAAAAATATTAGATCTTAGTAATGAGGCACAAGAACTGTCAACATTATCATTAAGATCTGGTGATAGTTTAATTGTTGAGGAAAGTAAGACTGCCATAGTGCCTCCAGTTTCATCAGGGGATGGGGTACTTCAGGCCCAATTGATGGGTAATAAAATAGGAATCCTTACACGGAAGGTTGTTCCAGCTAACAATTCTTGTCTTTTTACAAGTGTAAATGCTGCTATGACTGATGGCTGTGTTGATTTATCGTGTGCTAAACAGTTACGAGAATTGATAGCTGGTATTGTCATGAGTGACAGTGTAACTTATTGTGAGGCTATGCTAGGAAAATCAAATAGTGACTATTGTAAATGGATTATGAATGAGGAATCGTGGGGAGGTGGAATTGAAATCTCAATCCTTTCTAAATATTACCAAATTGAAATTGATGTAGTGGATACCCAGTCCGGTAGAATAGATAGATTTGGGGAGGATGGGAACTACAAAGATAGAATTTTACTCCTTTATGATGGCATTCACTATGATTTCCTGATATTAGATGCCTGTGTTCCCAGCATTCCACCCAAATCAAAATTTCTGACCTCTGATCTCACCATTCTGTCCCAAGCATTAGAGCTAGCAGAGGAGGCAAAGCAAAGTCGTCAGTTTACAGATGTAGGGAATTTTACTTTGAGATGTCTCATTTGTCAGAAAGCATTAAAAGGATCTCAGGAAGCACAAGACCATGCGAAGAAGACTGGCCATATCAACTTTGGGGAATATTAAAGATTCTCATTATATACAGCTACACATGTACATGAGACCTATTTGCTTGATGTCTATTATGCAGAATCAAAACTAATGTGATGATAATAAATGTCATAATTAATTAATGGTTATCAATACTTAAAGTTGCTATTCTTGTCTTTAACATCAAATTAAATCAAACAATTAAACCTTATGTGATATTTTTGGATATTTTCCTACTTTATTTTATACATTTGTATTACTCAGTCTTATCAAAACATGTTTGTTGTGCACAAATTATACTTCAAGTTTATTCTGGTAATTAACTGCACAAAGAAATGTTATGAATATAATTTAATTGTACATGTCAGGACATTCAAAACGGAAAAGCTTTATAAATGAATGTATAATTGTGTACCGGTATGTTTGTATTTCTTCACCGTGCAGTGTTAATGTTATTTAATATGTTTTAATGAATTCTTTTTCCTATAAATTATTACAATGGATAAATTATAGATGTCCTAAAGCCACTGATTGTTATTCGTACAATATTTGATTTTTCACGGCTTAATCCATAATTAAAGGCCCATCAAGATATTTAAACAGGCATTATGCAAGAGCTAAATCTGCCTATTGCAGGTCTTTCTTTAAAGGCCTAAAATGCTATATAAATTATTAATTAGACATTAATTAACTTATCAGGACCATAGTCAACTCTCGATGCCATTGGATGGCTGCAATATTAAGTAGATTTAAATATACTCTTCAAAAACAAAAACGCATAGCCCATTTTTCATCATTTGTTTATTTGAACAGGATCTTTGTTTCCATAAATCTTACTTGTGTTTTATGTCATTATGTAAGAAGGATAAAAGAAATCAATTTTTATACGCCCACATGGAAATGTGGACGTATATTGCTGTCGCCCCTGTCCGTCTGTCATCCACAATTTCTTGTGAACGCTCTAAGTCTAACACCAAAAGTTATTATCCAATTGTTTTAAAATTGATATATGTGAGACGAAGAAGCCTATTTAATTTCAATCATTTCTGTTTATTATGTCTAGAGTTATGACCCGTGTTTCACTTTGTTGAACCTTGTGAACACTATTATGCCAATAGTTATCATCCGATCTTTGTGAAATTTATATGCATGATTGAAATTATCCAATTGTTTTAAAATTGATATATGTGAGACGAAGAAGCCTATTTAATTTCAATCATTTCTGTTTATTATGTCTAGAGTTATGACCCGTGTTTCACTTTGTTGAACCTTGTGAACACTATTATGCCAATAGTTATCATCCGATCTTTGTGAAATTTATATGCATGATTGAAATTAGTGGAACGAAGAAGCCTATACTTCTGGAGTTATGGCCCTTGTTTCACTTTGTTGCACTTGGGAATGCTCGAACATCAAAAGTTATCATCTGATCTTTGTGAATTTTATATGTATTATTTTATTTAGTGAAACGAAGAAGCCTGTTGAATTTTAGCAATTTCCGTTAATTACTTCTACAGTTTGTTGCACTTTGTGAACGCTCTAACCTCTAATGTTATCTGCCAATCTGCAATTTCCGTTTATCACATCTAGAATTATGGCTCGTTTGACTTTATTGAATCTTGTGAACACGAAATTTATCATCCGATCTTTGTGAAATTTATATGCATTATTTAAATTAGTGAAACCACGAAGCCTATTGAATTTCAACAATTTACAATAATTCCTCTTAGAGTTGTGGCCCTTGTTTCACTTGTTCAACCTTGTTAATGCTCAATTGATGAAAGTTATCATCCGATATGTACATGTATAACTTATATGTATACATGTATGTATAACAGAGGTCTATTGAATTTCAGCAATTTCCGTCCCTTATGCCACTTATGGCCCTTGTGAATGGTTTGAATGACAAAAGTGATCATCCGATCTGTATGAAATTTATATGCATTATTTAATAAAACGAAAAAGCCTGTCAAATTTCAACAATTTCTGTAAACTACTTCCAGAGTAGTTTGTAGAACCTTGTAAACCCTCAAACGAGAAAAATTATAATCTGATCTGTATGGAACTGTTTGTGTTTCTTTTTTTGAAGAGTATATTTTTTGTTGTTGATGCTGTTACCATAAAAAATGGATAATCGAGACTTTGTTTATTATGGTAACAATGGTAGTAATGACAATCGAGGCTAGACTATAATTGTATCGCTGATATCTAGGTTCAGAGTGAAGTAATTTGACTGAAATTTTCAACATATTGTCTTTTCATTATCTATATTTTAACTATTATAGCGAAAACTGTCAGCCCTTTATCTACTTTTACCTAATGCCGCTTTAAACGAATATTATTAGGTGGGCAGTGGCTCTGGCTGGTTTTGATCATATCCCAGATATACATGTATCAGCTGCAGAGGATGACAAATGCTGACCAATTTTCAATTCACTAATCATATCTTTAATAAATGGTATTAAACCATTTTGGACTGACATTCCTTTTAAAGATTCTAGTTCTTCTACCATCAGGATATAGTGTTTGCAAGGGATTAAATATGCATTACATGATCGGAGACTTTAATGTTTTGCAAATAAAAAAAATAGAGAGTTTTCCTATTTCATATTAGGTTGATTCCAGTCTTTCAAACACTGTTCGCTAGTCTCATTTTAAGTAAATGTATATTGGCCCATATTGTATTATAAATTGAGTTTCTGACAAAAATGGAGTAACCTGGATAAACAGAACATTCAGTACATAATGTATGACTTTATTTTAATACATAATTAGTTTTACCAGTGCCATGTTATAAAGTTTTATTATCTTAAATTTAGATTTAAATTGTATTTTAATAACAATTTCACAATTCAAAAAAATAAATTTATGCAAGATATGTCTTTGCTTAAAGATAAAATAGGTTGACCAGCAACGAAAAATACGCCTACAGCAGCTAAATCGTCTGAGTGGTTGACAAGGGCTGTTGCATATTTATTCTTTTGTAGGTAATTGGGGGCATTTACAATACAATTGCTGAAATTCAATAGGAGCAGAACAGTAGGACGTTAAACCCCCCATTTCATTTCATTTCTTTTTACTAATTTAAATGACGCATATATATTTCATACATATCGGCAGATAACTTTAGATGTTAGAGCATTCACAAGGTGCAACAAAGTGAAACACGGAAATTGCTGAAATTCAATAGGATACTTCTTTATACTAATTTAAATGACACATATCAATTTCATACAGATCGGTAAATAACTTTTGATGTTAGAAATTATTGAAATTAATTAGGCTTCTTCATCTCACTAAGGTAAACAACAAATATAGACTGGAGGCTCAGCGCTTGTCCATCAAATGGGCACAAAACCAGACCAAACTTTTCTAGGGTGAAATTTTGTGTAGAATACGATGCCGAGTAGTAATCAGTCTGCCGTTGGGTTTTTTTCGAGATATTCGGGGTCAAAGGTCAAATGAGTTCATTTGAACTGAAAGTGCGCAGTCATTCTTGTATTATGAAAAGAAGCTGAAAATGATCGAAAGTAATCACACTTTCAATAAAAATGTAAACTTGCTAAATTCACCTTTGGTCTAAGTGACCCTGGGGGTCAAAAGGTGAAATTTGCTGTTTTTGCACAAGGAAGATTTAAAGCAATAAAATGTCAATGTAAAATATAAAAACTAAAGCGAAACATGTTCTAATTAATAATAGGAACATTTAAAATTGATCTTTAGGTGGTCTTAGCGCTGAACTTTTACTTTGGAACGTCGAAAATGATCTTGCATAACAGAACCAACACACTTTGAAACCTGTTTCAAAAATACGTAAAAACTGTCAAATCGAAATCTCTCCGATTTATTTTCACAACGATTGTTATACATGTACATAATGATACTAGTTATCTGAAAAACAATTGAATAGTTTCAGTGTTGGACTCCAGCCTGCAGGCCGGTTGGATTTACGAGAATCCCAGTCTAGAAAAACCGACGTTAATCTGTGACGGGAAAACACGTATCTGACAACGAATTTAAAAATTTGCAAATGTTTTATGTGTTTTTATGAATTTCGCCGGAACATGGACGCAGATAAAACCGACGAATGCATTGTACATAGTAGTTCACAGGATGTATATGTCGTATTGGTAAATGTTAGCGCGGAAAATTTGGGCAGGATTTGTGACGCGGCCTGCAGGCTGGAGTCCAGCCATGGAACTGTTCAATTGTTTTTTTTTCAGACAACTAGTATCATTATGTATAGCATTCGTTGTAAAACTAATTCGGAGAGATTTTAATTCAACAGTTTTTGTGTATTTTTGAAACGGGCTCCGAAGCGTTTTGGTTCTGTTATGCAAGATCATTTTCTACGTTCCAAAGTAAAAGTTCGGTGCCAAGACCACCTAAAGATAAATTTTAAATGTTCCTATTATTAATAAGAACAGGTTTCGCTTTAGTTTTTATATTTTACGCTGACATTTGTTACTTTAAATCTTCCTAGTGCTAAAACGGAAAATGTGACCTTTTGACCTCTGGGGTCACAAAGAACAAAAGTGAATTTAGCAAGTTTACATTTTTATTGAAGGTGTGATTACTTTCGATCATTTTCAGCTTATTTTCATGATACAGGAATGACCGCGCATTCACTTTCAGTGGAAATGAACCCATTTGACCTTTGACCCCGAATATCTCGAAAACGCCCCAACGGCGGGCTGATTACCACTCGGCATAGTATTCTACGCAAAATTTTACTCTAGAAAAGTTGGGTCTGGTTTTGTGCCCATTTGATGGACACCCCTTCGCGCTGAGCCTCCAGACTAATATCAATTTTAAAACAATTGGATGATAACTTTTTGCGTTGGAGCGTTCACAAGAAATTGTGGACGACGGACGGACGGGGGCGACAACATTATTCATGTACGTCCACATTTCCATGTGGGCGTATAAAAATGAACTTAACACACAAACTAGCAGACGTGGGAACAAGTCGCAGGACCGCGAGTCCGAGTCGAGTCCCAAGTCGCTGTACCTCGAGTCCGAGTCAAGTCCCAACTCGCCGCATCTCGAGTCCGAGATCATATTCCACCTTGCCATTTAATTGTCCCCCGCCTTTCGAAGAAAGCAGGGGACTATTAAAATGGGTTCGTCCGTCTGTCTGTCC